CAGGTAACCACCTCCCAAAGGCACACTCAGGTGAGCCCTGTTGTTCGGAGAGCTAGGGTGGGGGCTGGGCAATCATTTCTGGGTTGGAGCAAGAAAAACGCCATAGAAATGGTAGGATACAAGCCAAGCCTTGAGGGATGTCAAGAGGCAAAGATGGAAGGAGAGTCTTCGAGGCACGGGGGACTGACAGCAACAAAGGCATAAAGGGTAAGAAAGCAACAGACTGTAGCAAGGGTGGTGCGCACTTCAGTTACAGCATGGGGAGGAGGCGTGGGTGACTCGGTGGCAAAGCCAGTTAATGCAGGGTCTTGAGTATCAAATGGGTAAGGCAAAGTGGGGCAATACAAGTCCCGCTGTGCATCAGAATCACCTGGGGAACCAGGTCAGGATATAGGTTCAGGGGCTTGAACCAAGTGAATCAGACTCCAGGCTGGTATTTGGGAACCTGTGGGCTGTAGATCTTTGCACAGGAAAGTGATGTGCCCACAGCTGTGAAGACTTCAGGGTGGGGTGCCCTGGATAAGATCTGACCCCATGTGTGCCACGCTCAGCTCCTGAGTGCCTCGGTCTGATTGAAATGCTCCTCCTCTGACTACCACACGTCTCCTCCATGGGAGCTCGGGCCATACTCTGCAGAACTCAGTGACTGAGCTCCCGTGAGCTTAAGCTCAGTAAATGTTGGCTGTCTGACCAAAGGAAAGACAGAATGAGATAAGGGGGACAATTAGAAAGGCACTATCACCCAGGAGTGAGGTAAGAACCTGAGATAGGGCAGTGGCAGTAAGCACAGAAAGGAAGAGTAGAGACTGACAAGGCACCTTCGGGCAGAAGGTGGCATTTAATAGCCTTGAGAGGCACAGTGCCAGCCATTTGCTCCAAAGCCCAGGTGGTTAAGGGCAGGGCCAGCAAGACAAGTATCAGGGCACACATTCAGATGCTCTACCTGGATGCCACTCTTCTTAAAAACGAACAAACAAAAAAACCCAGACCTTGGTATAAGTATGACACTTAGCACACAGATGTTGCAAATATTCTAAGGCTGGGTCAGCAAACTTTTGGGAACAATCAGACAGGAAAGATTTTAGGCTTTGCAGGTCACAAAACCTCCACTGCAACTAGCAAACTTGCCAGAGTGTGGTTAAAAAAAAAAGGCAGCTTCTGCTCCTGCCCAAGAGACCAGCCCAGGGACTTGAAGCTGCCCCAGGCCATCCCCTGAGAGGCTCACAGAGGCCTGGTTTAATAATTACCCCTACCTCACCCATCTCCACTCTAAGGACACAGAGTCTCAGTGGCTTTTCCACACAGCTGGAGAGGAAGAGCCCTGTGTCGCACACTCTGAAGCTCCTCCCCGACTCCCCTGGTCCCACAACACCACCCCGGGCTCTCACTTGTGGGTGACAGCTTTCAGGAGGGGCCAGAAGACAGGTTGGGGCAGAGGCTTCTGGTGGGCATTTTTCTTCCTTTTCCCTCCGGCCTCCGCCCGGATGTGCTTGGCGTGCAGGCCGTGGATGAAGACGGCCTCCAGGGCGCTGCACATGGCGTTGGCGTCCCCGTCTTCGCTCGTGACCACTGTGTCCGAGGACACGTACTGCTTCTGCAATGCCTTCACGGAGCCCACTAGCTTCTTCTTGATGACCTAGGCAGTGCCCAACATAATACAGGACTTTAGAAGATCCCATGGCACCCCCTGCAGTGTAACTCTGTTGCCAGAAACGAGGGTCCGTGTACCTGCACAAACCTCTATCTCTGTAGCAAAACTGGCACAGACTAACTAATGTATGTAATGCAATGTAACTTTATTACAGTAATACAAAATTAATAAATTAATGTAACTAATAATGTAGAGAATAAAGAGAAAGCATAGAGAGGAAAAGGAAACACACTACTACCACCCAGAGATACTGTTGTCAGTTTTTTTCCCCAAAGACATTTGTGGGGTTTTTGTTTTTTAAATGTCAGTGAGCTGACAGCCATATAAGTCTTGAGTGTAAACCCTGGCTCCATCACAGTTACAGCTATGGGAGCGCGGGTAATCCAACCTAGGACAGGGGTGAGGCCTCCCACCTTATTCACGTGACCAACATTCCACAGAGAATAAGTTAAGAGGCAAAAGGCACTGCTTTAGAACAACATCAACAACAACAAAACCACTAAGAAACAGGAGCACGTTCTACGTGAGGAAAGAGCCTAGACGTGGCGACTGAAGCCGAGGTTTAGTCTCAGCTGTCAGTCACCAGCTGGGTCACCTCAGACATTTCACTTAACCTCTCTGAACCTCAATTTCTTCATCTGTTAAATGGAAAGAATACTTCATGATTTACAGCACTGGGGGGATTACTCTTTGAGGGCAGGGCTAGTTTTTTCAATTTATCCTCGTGCCCTCAACACTAGGCCTGGTTCCTGACACGTGTACTCCATAAATGTTTGCTAAGTGAATAAACTATTAAAAAACATAAAGTCCTTTGGAAATACAGAGTAAAGATAGTTCTATTATAATATAAGCAAGTATGTCAGAATCACCTAAGTGGAAAAGCTTAGAGGGAGCTGAGAAAAACTGGCTTAAATTATTAGGTAAGGATTATGGACAAATATTTCAGTGTTTCATTTTTATTTTAGCCAACACAATTAATGTTAATGTTCTTTGAAAAGTTAAATGTTCTTTTTTTTAGAACAGCTTTAATAAGACATAATTTACACAGCATAAAATTC